TTTTGATTATATATTTACTTATACATAATGCAGAGTAGATTAATTTATATTATATTGTTTTTTCAAACAATTTTATTATGAAATAATAATTGGTAGATTTCTATATATAATTTGTACCTGATAGCGATAATATTTGTTTAGTTATGATTAATATATATAACAATCAATATAAAATTAAATATATAAAAGCTGCAAAATTTTTGTAATATTATTTCTTTAATTTATCTTTCAAATTGCTATATATTGTTATTATGGACAAGTATGTTATTCGTAAAAATATTAATAAAAATCCAAATAATCAAGAACAAGAAGAATCTTCTAGTTCTGATAAGTCTTCTAAAAAAGTCTGATCTGATTGGAATCCCAATTGGCCTAAAATTTATCCATGGCTTGAAAAATTCGAAGATACTAATGATACAATTACATTGTACTGTACTTGGTGTAGAGATGCAAGAAAATCTAATCAATTTACTGAAGGTACAAAATCATTAAGAAAACAAACTATTGAAAGACATCTTATAATTAATGATCATCAAAAAGCTCTTATTGCTTAGGACAATCAACAAACAAAGCTTATGCAAGGATTTACTCAACAACTTAGTGTTCAAAAATTAACAATTATTTCATTAATGCGAAATATATATTACCTTTCAAAAAATAATCAACCTATAAACCAATTTTTTAATTTATGTCAATTAAATCATTTACAAACTATAAACCGAGAACAACTTCATTTTGAAATAAAACCTATTGTATTAAAATTGAATAATGAAAATTTTAATCAATTTAATCAATCTAGAAATGAATACACTACTTATGAAAATCCAATTTCTGGATGCATATTTCTTGAAGCAATATCATTTACTATAGAACATGAAGTTATTCAAGAAATATTAAATTCAAAATATTGGAGTATTTTGATAGATGAAAGTACTATATTTACTAATAAACATCTTGCAGTTGTAACAAAGCACTTATCTGAAAATAAACCTATTTTACGTTATCTTGGAATAATTGAATTAGAGGATTGTAGTGCTGAAACAATTACTATAAATTTAAAAAGATTTATATTAGCTAAATTACTTAATATTGAAAATTTGGTTCATTTTGGAAGTGATGATGCAAGTACTATGCTCAGTCATCAAAATGGAGTTGCTGCACGTTTTAAAAAATATAATCCTTTTATTACTGAGAATCACTGTATAGCACATCATTTACATCTTGCAGGTCAAGATGCTGCTGAAAAAGTATCATATTTTGAAAAATATAAAAAGTTAGTAAAAGAAATTTATACATATTTTAGTAGTTCTTATAAAAGATTATTAACACTAAAAATGGTACAAAATACTTTAGAAGAACCTGAATTAATGATATTAAATATTGTATCTACTCGATGGCTTTCATTTTCAAATGTTATTTATAATTTTTATCAAAATTTAGAGTCAATTAAAGGAGCATTATTAGATGAAGCAGCAAATAATATGCAGGCAGCTATTTTATTAGCAGATATTGAACAAACTTTTGAAATTGTAACTATGTTTTTGGCAGATTATTTTTTTATAATAGATAAATTAATACGTATTTTTCAATCAGACTATATTTTATTTACAGATATTAAACAACATATTACAATGGCATGCAATGCATTACAAGCTCAATTTATTGGTAACAATAATGTTTTACCTACTTATAGACAAAATTTACTTAAATATATAGAAGAAAATAATCTAGATACTAGTCAATTTCCTACCTTTATCTCTGAATTTGCATCTGCCACAATAACAAGTCTAAATAATTGTTTTCCAAATCGAGAACTTTATGAAGCTATAAAAATATATGATCCAAAACAGTTACCAATATCTGATAATGATTTAGCAAACTATAGTAACGAAGCAATTAATATTTTTAGTAATTTTTATAAAACAGAAAAAATTATTAATAATCAACAATTTATACCACTATTAGAAAAAAAAGATTTAATTAATGAGTGGGGAATGGTTAAATTTTTTCTTAAAAATTATCATTCTATTAAATTTGTTGATACATGGAACCTTATTTTTTCACAAACTACATTTATTTATGATTTTCCTACTATTTCTACTTTAATTCAAATTGCTTTGCTTATTTCTGTTTCTAATGCAACTGTTGAACAAGTTTTTTCTCATCAAAAACTTATTAAAACTTGACTTCGTAATCAAATGAATATTGAAACACTTAATCATCATTTAATGATAGCTTTAAATGGACCATCTATTGAATTATTTGATT